CTCTTCAGCCCCGTGAGACCACCGGTGATTCCGAAACGCACTTCGTCATATTCTTCATAACTTTCATATTTCATAAGCTACATTCAAAAAGTGGGTGTCATATGAGAGCTATAACTGTCTTCTTTCCAGTCAAATAGGTGGGTAATGTAATTTTAAACCCTTATAATAGAAGAAGCTTAACTCACAATTTTTTTGTCTACTGAAAGTTGACCCATTTTTCCACAAATCTGAGCTATAAACAGATGGCGTCTCTTCAGTGATCTGCTCTGTAAAAATGATTTTTTATAAAAAAATACAAAGAGTGTCTAAGATTTTTGGCTTTCAGCAGTACACTGTAAGCATATAGCAATATGTCTGTGATCATAAAACACGTTCTGTTAATTTAAAAATAAATAAATAAAATAAAAATGTACATGTATTTCATGCAGTTACTGAATAATTTGCCTTACGTTTTGGTCATGTACAATTCAGATGGAAAAAACAAAATATACCCTGTTAAATGTTTCATATTTTAAAACCAAAACATTTGTTTCAGTATTGTCATATTGGGTCTGAGGTAGCAAACTGTATCTGTTGTACATGGCTTCTGATAGAACTTCATTACTTTATTCTGCTAGTTAGCATGCTAAAGGCTACACGACTAACAACAAGAAAAAGAAGGGAAATACACAGCAGTTTTGAATCAAAGTTTACAGCCAATCAAAGCCGTTGATCATAGAATATATGTACATTACACTCAAATGTAAAAATGTTTAAAAAAATGCATTACAAGATTTACATGGCTAGCTAAATAGCTTACTGATGCTAACCTAACCGAGGGCTACATTCACCATTTCCCCTTGCAATGCATTTACACTGACAAATCTACTCTTTAATGAAGTTGTGATGCACTTTTGAGTGAGGAATTTAAGTTTCTGAGGGCATTTTGAGAAAATGTTCATGTTCTGCATGTTCTTCTTCTTATTATTATTATTATTACTAATACTAATACTAGGAGTCTGCTGTTTCACGTCTCATTTTTGTCTGTTATGCTTGAAAAATTAAGACGATTTTTCAGGCCACAATACAAATAGTCCTAGTTGTACACTGTCAAGTTGATACAATGACATGGCTCCTTTTATCAGAGAAATTCTGTCACATGTGAAAGACAGTGGTGATGGACGTTATTCGTCTGCATCAGGCTTTTGATCTTGCCACAATCTTTTCACCTCATCTAATTCATTCAACCACCATCTCTTGCAGAGTGCCAGAGCTTGTCCTCGTGTTCAGTGAATGGCATTCTCCTCACCATCCCCTCTCTGGACTTCTGTCTGCCTACTCCTCTTCGCCAGTTCAAGTGGGACCTGCGTGTTCCTGAGCAAGGTTCGGTGGAGCTGAGCTCACCTCAGGGCAACCTGCACCAGTCTGTGCCGGGGCAAGAGTGTGATGGTTCTGTCTCTTTGCTAGTCTCTGACACTGATGGCTCCAATATTGGCCGTTTCTGCTACCGTAGCAACCAAGGCACCATCCAGAAGGTCCAGATCTTCTCCAATGTCACCATCTCTGCTAAGGCAGATGGGACTAAAGACCTGAGCCAACAGCAAGGATCTATCTTTAACATCTCTTTCAGGTCTGAGATCACAGGTAGAATTGAGCTTCCTTGCTTTCATAGCTAACATAAATAAAAGCTAAGCTTAGTCTTATTTCCAGTCTTAATTTTCTCGCTGTCTTTCTCCTTTTTCTTCACAGAGATGCTGATCTATACGGTGTCTCCACTTGTTTCAACTCCTGTTCTCCTTGCAACGCCCAACTGGCCTGGAGCAATGAAGTCGGACTCCACCATATCATGGATTGTCACCATTCCAGAGGAGTACAGTGCAGAGTTACTCTTTATCAACGTCTCTCAGCCTCGGTGTGACAGGAGCCACACCAGAGTGGCCATTCAGGAGATGGGCTCAAGCAAGGAGGAGAGCTTCCGGGAAGACGATCGGTTTGACAACAAATATGATATTCAGAGTAGTTTCTACCTCAACATGTCTAACTGTGAACCTGAGCATGGCACCTTCGCTGCACTCAGCAAGATCTCCCTGCAGAAGAAAACACGTAAGAAACTCACAATTTGAACGTTCCCTTATTTTTTTGATGGATCTTCACTTTTTTTTTTTTAAACACAGCAGTTTTGGGTGATTGTTACTAGCATACTACTTAATGTACTTGCTCACTTTTTCTTATTGTAGGGAAACTGCTGAGCATCATTTTGGCTGTAGTTGGAGCACTGCTGGCAGTCATGGTCATCATTCTTGCTGTAGTTTGTGTGGTAGTGAGGTAAGTCATGGGTTTGATCCGTTGCCCTGTGGATTTTGGTTGTCAACTTATGTCACGGTGTGAAAACTGTACAGTATCAATTGTGTCTCTTTTCTAAAAAGAAAAATCGACAATATAGTGTTATTTCAGTATAAGATTATATGAAGCAGCATTTACCAGTTACCCTACACCCTTAACTGAGTTGGTAAAGCACCCAAAGTCCACTTTTATAATTGTGTTACAACTGCATATCTAATTGAGTTAATGTATCTGTAAACTAGTCTTTAGCTTTGTCCTCTTTAACTCATTTAAATCTGCCACCAGAGTAGTAGGTATCATACATTCAGCACCTCCTAATAAAGTGCTAAGTGCTCACACTCTGTTCTTCCATGGTCAGGACCCCCACAGGGCAGGTATTATTTGAGTGCTGGATATTTTTGGTTAATGGACTATTCTCAGTCCAGCACTGAGGTGTTTAAAACTCCAGCAGCACTGCTGTGTCTCCACTCACACCTGTACAACACACTACCACCATCATGTCAGTGTCACTGCAGTGCTGAGAATGATCCACTAACCAAATATTACCTTCTCTCTGGTGGTCCTGTGGAGGTCCCAACGATTGAAGAACTGGGTAAGAGGTGGTTAACAAAGTACTACTTTATGATAAGTGGGGCTGATAAAATGGACAGTGAGTGTAGACAAAGAGGTGTTCCTAATAAAGTGCCCGGTGAGTGTGTATCATTTTTTATATATGTATATGTGTGTATGTTAGGATGTGTGCATGTCCAAATTGGCACAGCAAAATGTATCAACATGTGGAATATGAGCTTTCTGTGTGCTACCATGTTTTCTAAGAGGAAGAAGATTGTGTGATTTACTGCGTGTGTGTCTGAGCATGTGCACACATTTAGAACAGAAGTTGGATCGATAAGCACTTATTATTGACTGGTATAATCGGAAATCAGTTTAATCATGAAACGCTACTGACATGATGAATGTTCCTGTACATGTGTTGGCTTGATCAAAAAGGTAGTTTGCAACACATCTAAAATAAAAATCTAGATTTTGAGCTTTGTTAGATCACATGCAAAAACAGTATTGGTAAGATTAAATTGTGGAATAATCAGATATTTTTAAATTGGCGTTAAAAATTAATAAGGCCTTTCCTGGGTTTAAGTTGACTTAGAGCAGGGAAAACCCTAAACTGTACAAGGCAGAGGTACTCAAGGACCAGGACTGACTTATTCTTTCACTTGTAAAGTTACTTTTTTGGAGAAAAAAAATTTTGTTCCGGCAGTGATGGTATAAAAAAATTCACTGTCGTGCACTGGGGCATCAGTATCGATGCTTATGTTACATTCCAATTTTCCAAAATGTAAACTTTTTTCCAAAATGTAACATTTCAACACATTCAAATCTTTCTAATATTTAACTTCCTTCTTACCAACAGGAAAAAGAAGCGGCTGATCAACAGATCCTCCATCTATATTCCCAAAGGACCTGTCTCCCTTCCTGGTGATGCCAGTTTCTCAAAAAGCCGAGGGGAAAACGACTCCCCAGTGTATGCCTCTATTGATGACACCATGGTCTATGGCCATCTTTTAGCACAGGATGGCCACACAGACAGAGGGCCTGGTAATTTCAATGGCCATCAGGTGGGCACATACCGCACATTCACTGGTCCCATGGAAACGTCAATCAAAGAGAGTGGATGTGAGCTGGACTCAGGGCAAGGACCTGAGAAAGATGCTTACCGTCCTTTCCTGGCACCATCTGAGACCTTTATCCCCCCCAGACCTCGCACTCCATTGGATGCAGTGGACAGCATGGGCTGGGACCGCAGAATGGTGGATAACGAATTATATACTTTTAAGAACCCAGGTGATCCAAACCCAATCCGTTTATCTGCAGCAGAACCATTGCCTCCGCCAGAGCCTGAGGACAACTCCTGGTCTGAATCTGATGAAGCTGAGCCACACTACGACATGCCCGACATGTAATGCTGGATGGAGGAAAGGAGGATATAAATTGTGGAATAGAGGTTCTGATCCACGATTCGCTTGTACAGGTCAGGCCCTGATGGGCAAAGTGTTTGTCCTGCCATTCGTGAATATTATAAAATGAAGCAGCGTTCACCTGCCTGTGCTGAACATCACTGGAAGCACATATTCAGACATGTATGTTTGCTTCATTTGAAATTTTAAAGACACTTAAAAATTAAGCAGATCTTTCTGCATCAGCAAAAGGTTTTATGTTTTAAATGCAAGTCTGCTGACTTAGATTTTATGGACTCCTAAGCTGTTTATGTTGCATGTTATTCATATACAATGAGAACAGAGATGGTGGATGGACACGTGGGATTTCCAAAATCATCATACCAAAAGCATCTTAATGATGGAGAACTTTTGCTTACTTGTACATATTTAGTGTCCACTAACACTTTTTTGACAAATGTCATAATTTCTGGTGTTTGTATATGCCCTTTGTCTGAACCCAAAGGTTCAAATACATTTTATTTATCTTTTGAAATTCCTGGTAATGTATATTTCTCCCATCCTTTTAAGTAATAAATTTTTAGGTATTTAAGGAGCTGTGTTACACTTGGTGTTACTTTTTTGTAGATTTTAAACTCAAAATCACTACAAGTTTTTGGTAGAGAATATATTGATAATGTTCATGATGTTGGACATGAATTTGTTGTAAAATAAACAAGCATGTAAAGTTAGCACTGAAATAATCTTTATTGTACTGATCAGTAGCTGAAGAGCTAAAGTGAGAAAAAAGCTTGCAGCATTTTTAGCCAGCAAGGGGACACAAAAACGAGTCTTTATGAATAACACACACTGGTGAATGTAAGCCAGTTGAAAGTAGAATTCCACTGATTTCTCAAATGTTTTTCATAATTAAATTATTAAGAAGTAAACAATGTAATTCAGAGTGGTTTGGTGTGGAACTGTTCACAGTGGGGGTGATGGGAACCAGACAGCTGAGGTGTCTTAGTGCTTCAAAGCTCCCTTAAGAAACATTACTGCATGAAATAGTTAGAAATACGTTCTTGCCTGGGACGTTTTACAACAATTTTGAGAAGGTATTCGATTAAAATATTGTTTTTTTAAATCATGGCAGAGCCATACACACATGAAATATAGTCCTCAAAGATAATAATAATATTATTATTATTATTATCTTATTTATGTATGTATTTATTTCATGTCTTGGATTTAACAGTTACCATTATCAATATTACATGTAAAAACACAGAAGACACCTGTAGGTTCACTGGCGGCTTTGGACAGTACATAAAATGTCTATATTTATGTTGACATCACAACCCCGAGTTCCCATCACCACCGCCACTGTAGAGAAAATCCAGGTCTAAAATTTCTCTACTATGCACGATTCTCTACCATTTCTCATCAAACCCCTTTGAATAACTTTGTTTACATCTCAATCACTGAATTATGTGGAAATTTTGAATCCTTGGAATCCTTCAATCACCAATTATTTAAAATCCCTCTTTAATAATTTAGTGACCATGAGGTCTGATTCTGGTTTAACCCTGATCCTTCAAAGTGAGCTGCAACACATATAATCTGTACTGTTTAACTGTACTTGTATAATTAGACACTCAAAGAAACGTGACAGCATTTATGAGGACAAAGAAAACAGAATGTAATGACCATCTCAGTTCTGCCCAAAACCTCAACAAAAGGAACAGGAACACTCGGGTGAGCCCACACAATGCTGGCAAGGCCGCTGCTGAGGAGCGATGGAAAGTAAAACCTAATGGAAAGGACAGTGAGAGCTGAAGGAAGACCTTCGCCTCTCAGACGATTTTGAACTCGCAGACGGAGGCTCTCTCCACGCGGCAGCTCTCGTCAGACCACTTTCCCCCGGACGAGGCGGACAGGACGGCGCAGTTCTCCGCGGTTCCCCCGTCAGGCTGTGCGGGGCGTGTCGAAGTCTCCCAGTTCTTGAAGCGCACGGCCGAGCCGGTCAGGTCCACCCAGACACCCTCGGACAGCATGTCGTTGACCCCGAGCCACACCCGAGCGTCCGTGCCCAGGCTCTCCCGCACGTACTGCACGAGCTGCTCGTTCTCCAGGCCGCTGAGGGGCGCACTCAGAGTGCCGCCCTTAGCGATGCAGTCTTCACTAGCCGTGTGGTATCTCTTCTGCTGCGACTCGGCCAGGAAACACTTGCCGTGGATCTTTTTCCCTCTCAGGCAAACTAAATAATAAACATAGAGTAAGTGTGGTCAAGGTTTAGACGGACTGTGTGGAGAACACTGCCCTGCTGAAAAGAGACCATTAGAAGCAGCAGGATTGAAACATTATAAAGGAGGAGGCAGCTCACTGATGGGAAGCTCGTAACGCCCAACATGGCGTCTGTTGGAGAAAGTCCTGCCCTTCAAGAAAACGATCCAATTAGCTCGCAGTTTAAGCCACAATCACCGCTTGCCAACCAATCAGCATTTATTAGCAGTAATGCTAGTGTCCTACAGCCCAAAACTGTAGAAAAAAACCGAATTACACAGTTTTCTTTGCACATTTAGTGAATACGTCCTTCTAAAAATACATCCTTTAAAATTAAAGGAAGGTTTTGGAAAAATGGTTAGAAACTATTTTGTTTTTAGCCATTTAGCTCCATTCACCCCATTCATAGGACTCACTCCTGGACGTCCTCTGCTGTCATGTAGTCATGTTTTTCATATAACAGAAGAAGAGTCCTTTACAGTCTGATATCAACCCATCAGGAAAACACAAATACCATTATTGACTATTGAACACCACCAGGAACCAACAGAAACTTTAAATGTTTGCTATGATTTCTTTCAGAACAGTGACCCAACTTTCATTTAAATCATTTTTACACTTGTTTTTGTGGTTTTGCTTTAGTGCGCTTGCAGTATGTAGTTCAGGATTGAGTAAAAGTGTGAAAGGAGCCATTAAGAGTTCCGATATGTATCATATCTCTGTGGGATAGTCAGTAAAGAATGTTCTCAAGCTCAACATGGCAAAGAGGAACGTGTTCAAATGTGAGTAAAATGCATTTGTTTATTAATTTAACACGTCATTAAGCTGCATTATGGTTGTATTCTGAGTTCACATACTGAATTTGCTTCCGGTACAGAGCCTGCACATCACATGAGTCTGTCCCAAATGCACACGTTTACACCAAGCATCTTCAAGGTCTTATGCCTTATAAGTCTGCACACAGCAATAATTCTGCAATAGGATTACAGCTACTGAGCACTGATTGGTTGGCTGAGTAAAGCAATTTACATTCACTGATGCAATACTGCATATATAAGGCACTGTTACAAAGTCCTATAACTGGAATTTCAGTATTAAATGTATGACAGCAGCATGCTATGTTAAGAAAATGAGTGCATTTCTCTGTTAGAAAAACAGAATGAACCTTTTACGAACTGAAATTTCACACGAAAGTTCTCAATAGGTCCCCATTGATTTTGAACTCTCTTAGGAACACCTTCTAATGTCTGACCAACCTGGAAGAGATCAAAGTTAGTTATGAGCCTACAAAGTCCTCAAAATCTACTCTATTCACTATGAGCTGTGCCTGCAGGTCCAGTTCACAAATTTGCTCTTTACATATATCTCTATATGCATTGCATAATGTACACCAATGAGCCAAAACATTGCCTAATATGCCATTGCTCCTCTGCATGCCGCCAAAAGAACTCTTCACCCAGGCATGGACTCTACAAGAGAACTGAAGGTGCCCTGTGGTATCTGGCACCAAGACGTTAGCAGCAGATCCTTTAAGTCCTGTAAGTTGCGAGATGGAGCCACCACGGATCAGACTTCTTGTTCCAGCACATCCCACAAACGCTTCAAATTTGGAGGTCGGGGCAACCTTAAAGTCTTGGTCATGTTCCTCAACCCATTTCTGAACAATGTGTTCAGTGGCAGTGAGCATTATCCTGCTGAAAAAGGCCACTGCCATCAGGGAATACCATTGCTATGAAAGAGTTTACCTGGTCCACATTGATGTCCACCAATTAACGTCCACATCTGCCCAGAGCATCACACACCCTCCACCAGTTTGTCTTCCCACAGTGCATCCTGGTGCCATCACTTCTCCAGGTAAACACTGTCCACATACTCTGCCGTTCACATACTCAGCCAGCTACATGATGTAAAAGAAAGTAGGACTCAGTGGACCAAGCAACCTTCATCCATTGCTTTGAGGTCCAGTTCTGACGCTTGGGACGGTGGACGGGTTAGCATGGCCAATCTGACTGGTCTGCTGCAGTGCAGCACCATATGCATGCATTGTGTTGTGACATATTCACAAATTTCTGTGACTTGTGCCACAGTAGCCCTTCTGTCGGTTCAGACCAGATGGAATAGCCTTCATTGCCCTTGTGCATCGATGAGCTTTGGGTGGCCAACACTCTGATGTTGGTTTGTGGTTTTTCCCTCCTCTGACCACTCTCAGTATCACTGCTGACCGGGAGCATACCACAAGGCTTGTTATTTCGGCGATGCTTCTATCCAGTCGTCTGGCCATAACAATTTAGCCCTTGTTAGAGTCGCTCAGGTCTTCATGCCTGCAAATTTCTCCTGCATCCAACCACTACGAAATCTGACTCATCACTTACTGTCTAATATTTTCCAGACCTTGACATCATAATCAATATTATTCACTTTATCTGTGAGTGGTTATAATGTTTTGGCTCATCTTTGTATATAGGGAAAAGTGGAAACAATTGCAGTGTTGTCATAAATGATAATGATTTAAAAGGGGGAATACAAATGTCAATAGCAGACAAACATTCATTAAAATCAGAATTTTGGAAACAATAGAGCAAAATGACTAGTCTGTCGAGTCCAATCTAGTTTTCTTTTTTGATTGGCTGATCGCTTGAATGCTCAGCCTGTCTTCAGCCCTGGAGAACTGGAAAGGACACAGAAAGCACATCTCTTAAGAAAATGACATTAGGAGTATTTCTAACCTGTTTGTAGAGCTTGCTTCTCCTTCAACAGGTTCATCTCTGCTACTATGTCATTGATCTGCTTCTGTAGCTCCTCTATGGCAGTAGTGCTTTGAACATCTGAGGCTGAGAGAGAGAGAGAGCCCGGGAGGGAGAGAGAATAATGGTGGTTTAGAGTAGCCTCCAAAAGAAGACCACAAGAACATCCTGTATCTCGGCGTTTATGCTATTCCAGCTAAAACTGGTTGAGGTGTGGAAAGGTACTGCCACATACTGCAAAAATCCATGAATCAGTTAATCCAAAATTAATTAATCTAATGCCCATAATAATACATGGCTACATTATTTATTCTGGACATTAGCAACCTGTCCAACTTTGAGATGCACCAAAGAACTCCTGAGTTTTGTGAAAATCCTACAAATTGTCACTGTTCAAAAACAACATATATCTTCATTTTTTTTCTACATAATTTGAACATGAGTTGTCTTTTACATCATGTAACAATATTGACCAATCCAAATGCTCTAAAATGACTTGGAATATAATCACTTTACATTAACTTACATTCAAAAGTAAAATGTTTTGCTTTCTCCTGTATAATTACTGTAAAGTTACAATTTTGGAGATGTGTAGACATTTTGGACAGTGACAATATACTTAATTCATTTCAAAGCAAACCCTTAAAAAATAATTTGGAAATGCATGGATACCTCAGCAAAATGCATTCATTATTTTTGAGATTCAAATTTAGCAAGCAGTCCAACCGTGAGATGCACAGAAGAATTTACCATATGGGCTTTTGTGAGAATCTCGTAAACTAATTAGCCAATTCATTGCATTAAAAAGCTGAAATATTCTATAGCAATTCACAGGGTATACAAAAGCACTTTTCCCTACCCTTTTTAACTTGGGGCTTCTTCCTGGGTGCGCTTTGCTGGTCTGATCCCTGGATGAGGAGCATTCCAATCAGGAGACACGCAACTCTGAGCTCCATGCTGAAGGCTTTGCAGAGAGTGGTTGGCTTCAGAGAGTGTGTGGCAGTGAAGCTGTTTCTGTGAGGGAAAGGGGATTTACGCTTCTCTGTCTAGCTCTGGGAGGAAAACTACTGTAATAAAAACCTGCTCCTGCCTCAGAAGCCTGGAGGCGTGGTGCTCATCCACAGACTTGCACACACACTCATACAGTGTTCGCCATACACTTACAAACAATATATCTGCATCTCTCCTTCACCGATCATCCACATTTTCACCCATTCACATTCACAGCACTCACTCATCCGCATGACAATACTGTACAAAAGTCAGAGACATCCTCATATGTAATTTCCAGTCAAAACCACCTTTAAGTACAAGTTATTTGCTATTTCTGAAAACACTAGATATAAGATAATCCACTTACATAAGCAAGAGGAAACCCAGGAGAAAATAAGTAAAAAACAAGAGCTTCTAAAACTGGAAATTAAAAAAATATTAAAAATACAGAGAAAATAAGACAACTGTGCCAGACCCGGAGGACCACACAAGATAAACAATACCTAAAGCTTTCATCTTTGAGAGATAAGAGAAAGTCGAGCTCCATTCTTTGCTGTGTGTTTCTGTCGATCCTTCCACTGTGAGAAGACAACTGAACACTACGGGTCTGAAAGGATGTGTAGCTGTCAAGAAGCTGTTACTGAGAAAAGAAAGTCCAGACCTCAACATCACTGAATGTGTTTGTGATTACTTTGATTGTGAGAAGAAGAAAATGCAACCAAATTGTAAGATTGAATTTTGGAGGTGTGGAAAAGTATCCCTGCAGATTTCTTTGAAAACAGAAAGCACGTCTCCTGAAAATGGAAGCTGTCATAAAGGTGAAGTGGACATACTGGAAAATAGGATGCAATTTTTGTTAAATATATGTTTTCTGTTTTTTTTCCTGAGGGTGAAAAATAAATAGCTTGTACTTAAATGCCATTTCAAGTGGAAATCAAATTAAGTAAGAATGGTCTTAATTAAGTGTGGTCTGTGCTGTTGGTACAGGACTGTGTACAAAGATAAAAATATGCTTCTATAAATAAACTGTTCATTCTTGGATTATTTTGCATGATAAGATACATGAATATTTTGGTATATGGGCAATTTAGTATTCCGTAACTTTCGATAGATATCCTGCAAGAATGGTAAGTAACCAACCAGCCCTAGTCACTTGAGCACTACCACCAACGTGACAGATCTAAGCACTGTCAAAGCATTTCCCTATAACCCTCCTCTGCCAGTGACCTGTCTCATCTACTCAGAGATCCACAGGCTGCTGAGCAGTGACAGTGTTTGTTTTGGAGCCGTCCTGTCCTGAGCTGTGGCTTAGATCCAGGCCTTCAGCTGCTGTCTCGGGCTGGAGCCTCTTCAGACGACACGTGGCAGGGGAGAGGCCTGAGAGACGCCCATCAGCCCTAACACTGGGATACACTCTCCACTGTCTTTCTTCCAGTGCTAAAGTGCTATTGTGGTTAACCAGTTAGCAGGACTTGAGCTGCATAATGACTCTTGGCCTCCACTAGTTTCTCTTACTTGGTAATGTTACAATTTGCGGGTATACCTCTAAAGGAAGAGCTTGAAAAATTCAAAATGGACAAAATGTTGCATAAATACAGTTATCGTACCAGCTGTCTTAAAGTCTGAATTGTATTTATACTCTCTTTCATTTTTATAGACAAGTTAACAATATGTCAGCAACCACATATTTCCACTAATTAAGATTACTTAACAACTTGATGTAGTTTGAGGTATGTGACGCCTTACAGTTAGCATGATGCTAATGGGTGGATTATAAGCTTTCATTACTTTTTGCTCCACCTAAGCCTTGTAGCTTACAGTAAACAGATTACAGTAAAAAATTAGAACTCTGACTTTTAAATGCCATGGTATGCTGAATCATACTTAAATATAACCATTGGCATGAAGCAACAAGGTAAAAAATTAGCCTTTAAGACCTTCCTCTACATTTTTATCTCTGTTATGCTAGCTCTTAATGGAGGTGGTATTTAAATATAAGTATAAATCAAGCAGCAACAAATTATTGTAAATATACGGCATTTTGTTTCACATTCTGCCAGAGGTGGAAGAAATGAATTCACCATTCACAGACACTAATTTCCTGAGCTCAGAAATTAACACACCATTGGAAAGATTCTTGTGTCTGCTCGGAAAAACACTGGAACCACCCGTTCACACCACGCCACCACTTTCAGCTGTTTTAGCAAGACACTGGCTCTTCTACCATTCAACAAAAGCATATAATTCCAGAGTAGCACTAATCTACTGAGCAGCGTACTCCATTTGGCATAAGCAACATCCAGAGATCAACACTGAAATTGGAAACTGTAAATGGATAAATCCTCTTTCCAAAACTCAGTTTAAAGCACTGAAAAATGCTGCCACTCTGTCCGTGGGTTTCTAATGTCACTGAGGGACATCAGTGAAAAAAACTGTTACATAACGTAAAATTATAAGTGGAAAAACTTAACAGAACGTTTATTTCCTCCTGCCAGAGGACACTGAATGGTGTTCTGGTGATGTCCAAAATCAAAACCACATTAACCACATTGAAAAGGCAAAAGTTTATTTGGTGTTTAAAATAGTAAAAAAAGAAAATGAAGGAAAAAACAGGTACAAAAGGAGGAGAGCTGGTACTATGCCAGGAAGCCTACTTTCTGTCTTTTCTTGCCAAGACTCTCATCTTTCTGCAGCAGCTCCATGAGAGGCGCATGAAGAGCTTTTCCTACTCGCTTCCCCGTCTGAAGAAACACATAAGAAAAAAGCAATGGCACTGACTGGAACACTTTCAAACGTCTTACAAACATCATTAAGTTTTCCATTGTGAAAGGTCACTCAGAGTCTCTTTTGTCCATTTAATAAACGGTCAGTCATACAGTGTCAGAAACCATATAACATTGCTATAGGGACAAAACCTTTTTCATTTTTTGACATAATTTGAAATTGCCAGCTGGCCTTAAGGTTGTGTCAAAATTTCATGATGACGGGAGCAATGAAAATGGTTAAAAATCATTACTGAAGAAATTATTTATTCCAAATGTCTATTAAAAGTTAAGTATGTTTTTCCCTCTCTTGTAAAGATTCCTTTTTGGAGATATGAGGTTTTGTTCCAACAGTGACAAAAGGCAAGCCTATCTGAGCTTAAAGCTGTAAGATTTTTTTTTGTTGAAATTACTGAGTGAGGAAAGAAAGCAACCAAAAATATGGTTTGCCTGTTCTGTAATGAATCACCCTGTAAAGCCTGAAATAATTTCAAAAGTCAGAGGTGTTGGGTTGGATTTCGAGGGAGCTTTTTTTTGGACATCATACGCCTTTACATACTAATGTCACACACGCAGGCTCACAAAGACCGAGTTCTTGAAAACTCTTTCAACACGCCCGCAAACAAATTATCAGTTCAATGAGGGGTCAGACGAGTCAACAGGATTACAGAATGTTCTAACCGCCAAATCCCTCTTACATAGTGTAGCTTTAACAACACAACAGTTTGAGGCATGCACATGATGCTTAGGGTTGGGAAGTGCTGCAGTGTAAGCTTCCATTACTTGTTAGCTAAGTTAGCCTCATATATCTTGTGAAAACTAAACAAGCAGTGGCTAATGACTGCAGTCAGGTCAGATAAGCATTCAGCTCAGGTAGAGTGATTTTGTAATAAACCTGAAAGGCCTACAAACAAGTCTCTACCTGCCAACATCATTTTTAAACAAGGATTTCTATAATCTGTCCGTGAACTATTTTTATGTTTGTTTGTGCACAGTCATATGCAAAAGTTTCAATACTCATGATCAAATTACACTTTTTTAGTGAAAATAAGTGCACATCCTCTACAGAGAACTTATATGTGGCATTTTCTGCAAATTTTAGTTCAATTTGTACAATTTCTATTTATTGACTGAGCTTATTATATAGAATAAAAATAAAACATAAAAAATAAAACTTGTCATGACTGGCACAGGCCACATTTTATGTTTTATTCTTTACGTAAAAATGTGTATATCAAATGTGCAGAAGACTGTTCTCTGTAAAGGACGTCTTCACTTATTATCACTTAGAAGATGAACAAAACCATGTCATTTGACCTGGAAAGTGTGTTTGTGTGCTTGCTGACCTCTGTCATCTCAAAGATGCTGTCCGGGTCCAAACTGCCCCCTCCCAGCTTCCGCACGCAAGTCACCATTCCTTTGTGGGTGACTGAGATCAGTAGACTGGCCACAGAGCAGGCCTTCTCCTGCAGAGTGGCGTCCACAACGTGCCTGTGGCCAATCTGTGGTGTACATTCACACAGACAATTCACACTGTGCAAGCTATTTTGAAAAAACAACCATAAAGGCATAAAGAAGAACCGATAAACAATAAGTGATGCTGCAGGTGTACCTTGCACAGGGTTACGATGCAGGGAACATTCTCCACATTGAGACGCATGCAGTCATAAGGATCATCGGATAGCTCAATTTCCTTTCCTCCCTCCTCATCTTCTGATATGTGCACTTTGGGAATCCTGTTTTGACAGCAACAGAAACCATTTTACACTGAGAATCTGTATCCATGAAGGGATCATTCAAACCATACAGGGATTCCAGACAAGAAAAACAAAATGATTCAGTGACAATGTTCACATTACAGGGTTAAACATAAACTTATTTCACAAAGAGATTTTGAGTGAACACAAAAATCTAACCTTCAAATCAAATTTTAGACACTTTCATATACGGTCCTAGATCAGATAAATGTGGTCCAAAGGTCTGAGACAAAATTGAAAATCTTGGAATTTTTTCAATTAAACCTGGAAATGACCAACAGAAAGTTGCAGAATTCTAAACATATCAAAACAAAGAAAAGGTATGAGTAAAATGAAGAAGAAATATTCAACATTTTGCACTACTTCTAGATCACTACTCTAGCAAATTTCTGTCACTAACCATGTTTAAGAGGAATAAGGAATAAGATGGTCTAAGGGGGTTTAAGGGGAAGGGGAATAAGATGGTCTAACACATATTTTTAAATACATTCATTGCAGAGTAGTACAAGTAGGGTGTTGTGAAATAAAGTAGTCCCCAAAAGAAAACTTGTTTTTTTTCATATTTACCACTATTTTACCATTATTACCTGGAGACATGTGTAAGTTCACTGGCTAATTAAAAAAAGAAGTAAATATTTAAAAACATGTGTTTTTTCTATCATCTATCACATTTCTATTTTTCTATCACCACCATTGCACAGAAATTTAAGTTGGTAGGTTTCTCTAAAATCAAGACTTCATAACAAAACACTCTGGATGACACTGTTTATGACTGAATTATGCAGAAATTTTGAAAAATCGCTGGAATTCCCCTTTGAGGCCTTTCCTGCATGTGTTGATATGAATCTAATGGGGGACTTAGTTCTACTCGTCAGAGGCTTTTGCACAAACTTCTTCTTCTGTTTCATTGTTATGATGGAAAAATAACATCTGATTAGATAAGAATAAAAACAGAAAGATTTTCACTTGTGCTGTTTTAGACCCCACGCTACTGTGCAGCATGTCAGCAGCTGCAAATTTAATGACAAAATACGTGTATGCAACTGTTGAACCTTTCAGGATAGAGATGTGTTTACATAGATATGACTTACAAATTCAAATGTGAATGATGAAGCCAGGAATATTGGATTTGAGCACAACAAAAAATCAAAACTGAGCAATAAAGCTTGTAAGGTGAGCGTTGCTTGTGTTTATCACAGGCAAACTGCTTACCGTGTGTTAAAGAGAGCAGCTTTTATGGCGATGGACATCGCATCAAACAGGTTTCCATCACACTGTAGAAGCTGGAACACAGACAGACAACATGCTGACATGGACTGGAAATTCCAGAGGCACAATTCCAGTTGGAAAAAAAAAGACAACGAAGAAATTTCCAGCTCCCCCCACTAGCTACCACTTCTGAACGCCACAAGGATCCTTAGTAAATTTTGCAATGTTACTGGTTTTGGTAACCCCACATACCATCTTTCATTTCAAATTGTGTCTCACTGTTTGTGCCAGAGCAGTACACACACAGTGAGAATTAAATGCTGCTGTACACAGACACTGTGTAAGTACAAGTGAAACATCTGGACAGCTTATTTTATTCATAATCAGGCTACTGGGAGGCAAACTGCTAGCAGTGGCATCATTATGGCATTTTGTGAATTTAGTCATAAAGTGAAATGCTGCTACATGTAAACAATGTGCTTTAATTAACTGATTTCAATTACTGTACCTACTGTTTAGGTACATTATGATACTGCACATTTTACTTTAGAATGTTTTTAAACAGTGCCAGTTTTACTAGACTACATATATGCATTTATAGTGAAATACTCTGCTTTTTATACCACTACATTTGTTTCAACAGTGTCCAGCAAAGTTACAATTTTTAAGTGCTGGCTTCAAAGAACCTCATATAGCCTAACATTTTTTCTTTATCACCGCCATTTTCCAAGGCTTCAAACTTGGAGTTGTGCTTATGACAGCAAAAAACATATCACTAGCTTCCAAGAAACTTGAGGCTGTACTGTCATGGCTGAGGCAGTGTTTCTCACCAGCACATCCACGTACAAGACCCAGCAGTGCTCTCCAGGGCAGATGCAGAGGCTGCGCAGGTCCAGGCTGTGTCTGTTATTGAAAACTTTGTACAGTGTGTTACTCAGCTCCACACCCAGCTCCTCACCCCCACGCCCTTCAAACTCAGGCGTGGCATTTGCTGAGCTAATAAAGAAGAGGGACACAGACATGAAAACTCACGAGCAATGAAAAAAGGGCATCGTTCCTAGGAGAGAATTTTTGTGATATTAACATGAAAATTCTGGTGTATTCTGAGACTAATATAAAGGAGAAATTACTGCATAATGATTAAGTTAGTGCAACAACTATGCAAACAAGTAATGTGTAAATATTGTACTATATTCTGTGTGATATTTATTTGATAAAATCTTTAGCTCACTATGCTATTTTGAGGCCCAACATCTATTATAAACAAAGCCATTCTAAAAAGTTTGCCCATCATTTGTTCTCTTCTGATTCCATAAGATGTACAGTGCTTGGACCCCGAAATCACTGAAATCAATGCATTCTACATTAATTTTATTCATTTTATACGCACAAAATTGAAGCTGATTGTCTTGGTTGCTAACAATAGCAATTTATAATAACTATGATGAGAACCTTTTACCCACAGTTTGAAAGCTAGTGAAGAAAGAAGTCAGAATATGTGGAAATTAAACTTAACTGCTCACAAAATATAGCGATTTGTTCAAGTTTCAGTAACGCTACCTCAGTTCAGAGTGGCCTAGTAAAATGAAATACTATATCTCTGAATTGGCCGAATAATTATCGTACACTGCTGCTGAGCTGTGTTTCTTGGGAGAGAGGAAGTATTCTCCCAGAATTTTAAAATTAAAAATGTAGCAAATCCACACGATTCACATAAAAGGCACGTTCATTAATGAAAACATCAAATATTGCCAAAAGGTGATAAGTTTGCATGTACTGGGGAAAAAAGTTTAGAAAGCAGTGACACAGAACTTCCTTTACATAGAGAAAGCCCTGGAATTCCCTCTTGTATTTCAGATGAGTATATGTCGATGAGAAAAGTTTTGGGCCTGAAGACAATATATAGAAGTCAACAGATACAGTCTCAACCCCTTAAACTGCAGGTCCAGATAGCTACATAACCCTTATAACTATATAGCTGACATTTGTCATAGTAGTTCCTGAATTTTTTATGGTGGCTCTTGAAAAAAATTACTGTAGTTACTGAATAATTTATAGTTATTACTAGTAAGCATAATAATTTAATAATTTAAAAATAACCTCAACTTCTATTATTTAAGTAAAACTTGGCATAAGTGCATCAGTTTCATAACATGCTTACCAGTCAACAAAGAACTCCAAGTAACCCTCATCTGGAACCATAGGCCGCGGCTTCCCTATCTCAGCCTTTATTCCTACAAGGATGTCCGTGTGTCCCTGTTAGACATTCAACACCACATCTTTTATGATGGCACCAGACAGAAATTCAGTGGCCACTTTATTAGCTACAGCTCCTGTAGAACTCCTTTCATTTTGGATGTTGCACACCAAAATCACATGTCTTCCATCACATGCTTTATACATGTATTTTACTTTTATAACATTGTACTTAGACATATGAATTTTTAAAATATGCCTTCCTATAAGAGTGGCACAAAAAAGTGTTGATTAGAAATTATTATTATAAAAATGACAGCCGTCTGTTGGGTAGATCTGCAGAGTAGGCTTATCTAACTTATCTAATTAAATAGTCACTGACTGTATGTGATCATCAGTCACAGGAACATTAGATTAAACCCTTTGTGTCCTATGGCCACTGACACAGCTACACCTAGGCTCACATATACTTCCAAACGGAGTTTTACCAGGCTGACTTTGGCAGAGCCATCTGTGTTGGACACCACATCTGTCTCAATCTCCATATGCCTGTAGTCCTCACATCCACGGCCGTCCACCCTTAAGTCATCCTGTCACAAAAACAATGATAAAATGCAGCACATGGGTCATTTAATATAACAATAACAACTGAGCTACTTACAACTCTCAGACTGTTATATTAAAAAGCGTGAGTGAGTGCAAATATCAATGAGTCAATGACTGCAAATGTCAACTTTTAGAGAGTCCCTGTGGACTGGATGTGGAGTCACTACCCTAAACTGGCCACCTTACTCAGGGCTATTGCTTTAGGAGTGGGATTAATAGAGTACTAGAGGGTAAATGTTAAAAAGCATATTTGTTGACCTGGAATAGGTACTGAGCTGATGAAGACTGCTTTAAAGGAAAATCCACCATTTTCAAAATTTCTGAATAATTCAATCCTTGAGATGTAAACAGAGTCATTCAGAGAGGTTTGATGTGAATCGGTTCATTGTAGAGACAATCGCAGACTCTAATTTCTTTACAGTGGTGGTGATAGGAACCAGGGGTCTCAATGTCTACAACACAAAAACAGCCATTTTATTTACTATTTAAAACCACCTGTGAACCTACACGTGTCTTCTGAGTTTTTATATGTAATGTTGATGAGGGTAAAATAGTAATAAATCTGAAAAAATAAATTCTCTTTGGAAACTATTTTGCCTCTGCCATGAATTGATTAAAATAAATTGATAAAAAATACATTATAAGCCAAAACTTTATAATCATAAACCATGTGTCAGACAACAGGCAGCGTATATCTAACCTAACTGTGAACAATTCGGTAAGCCTTCTCTAGTATGGAGCATGTCACACCAAACCACTCTGCATGACTTTGTTGACATCTCAACCATCTAATTATGTAGATTTTTGTTTAAAAAAATTGTGTATTTCCCTTTTAAGAGGTGATTTTTCAAAGATCACTATAACATGGTTAAGCAAACATCACTAACAGTCCAGAGTTCAGTCGTAAGTCTAGTTCAGTGTTCCCTAATTCATTTCTGCTCGAGCCAACCTCCTAACACCCTGAATACCTGAGCTGGGATAAAGCACAAATGTAATAGTTCAGGTGGGCTCGACACTGACGTATAACTATGTTATATTACAGTGATGAATGAGATAATAAACGAGATATAAACTAAGTTACATATGACAACACTGATGCTTATGCTGCTGGCGACGGTTAGCTAACTTACCAGTACACCCTAATGAAGACACTAAGTCTTTCACTTACAGTCAGGAGGAGTGAAGCACACAGAATGCATATGTGTATAATGTCTTCTTTCTCACTCACCCTCACTCCATGCATGATATACACTTTCTCAGCTTCGCTCACTTGTACAGTTGCCATGTTTCTCTCAAAGCATGGACTCAAGAAGTGACGCGTACGAGAACATCATCAGAAGGCGCCGAGCAAACCGAAAAAAGGAGGCGGATCCTGGACGTTTCTGCACCAATAATATACAAGCTTGAGGAACACAAGAGGTGATCTGTAATATGATTGGCTCAGAAGAATGTCAATCTCAAAGACGGAATGGCGTAACGCGTACACATCTACGGTACATGTGTTTTCTGCATGGTGAATGTGGTAAGCAGGTTTAATGTAACAAATAGCTTGGTTTTAGTATTTATGGTAATATTGTAGTATTTCAGGTAATATTTTAGTATTTCAGCGCATAATTTGTCTCACTCTCAGATTTCAGTTAACGTTATATACAAAATCACGTTGCGCTGTGACTGCGGCCAGTTAACCTTACCTAAATCAGCGGCCATATGAAAAATGTAACTTGATATGAAGGTCTATGTTTAGTGATCCGATACAGTCCGATACTGAAGCTGTCTACTGAAAAGTCATGTTGAAGAGTAATATATGTTGTCTGTATTAAATCTTGTCACTAGATTTTGAGATGCCTCTCTATTCTCACTTGTAAACTTGTCTTGTTGCTACTGATGGAGTCCAAACGTTTGTGTACATCTGCTCATCCAGGGTTTCTTCTAAATAAGGCTTTAAAAGGCAGTTTATCACACTTTGCTGCAGCGACAGCATCTAATCCGCTGGGAAAGCTTTACACTAGATATTGGAAATTTGCTGTGAGGGTTTGGTTGTATTCAGCCACAGGAGCATTAGTGAGGTCAGGTACTGATATTGGATGTTTAGTTCTGGATCACAAACACCATTACAGCTCACCTCAGAGGTACTGAATGGTGCTCCATCACTACAGAAAACACAGTTTCACTGCTCCACAGCCCAGTGCTGAGGGCTTTATAACCCTTTAGCAGATGCCTGGCATTGAGCATAGTGACCTTAGTCTCTTGTGTTGCTGCTCCACAGCCTCCCATTCTATTGGCAGTGCTTTTCTATGCTGTTTACTGTTTGTATACTTTTGGACATGTAGTGTACTTCTGGTGCACATTTGCAGAAGGACAGAATTTAAAATACGTTTTGGAACTCCACCAATTTTTCAAAATTCCTATATAATTAAATGGTTAATATTTCAATAAAATCATTCAGTTGGTTTGGTGTGAGATGCTTAATTCTAGAGGAATTTACAGTGTCAGAATTGTTCACAGGGGTTGTGTTAGGAACCAGATGTCTAAGGAGTTTAATGACACTATAAGCTCCTTTCCAGACAGTTATTACGTGAAATGGCTATGCATACACTGCCTGTTATCTAAGACATTGTTATACGATAGTTTTGTGATACAGTTTTGGTCTGAAACGAATTTTAATCAATTTATTTGAATCCATTCCTGATGGAGGGATATATGAAGGGTGTTGAAAGGTGATATAGTCAATAAACAATATTTTTTTTTTCAGATTGATCATTTTCTTTTACTATCATCGTTACATAAAAAAACTCAGAAGGCACATGTAGGTTCACTGGTGGTTTTGGATAATAGTTAAAATGGGTAAATTTGCATTGACCTCAGGATCCCTGGTTTCTATCACCACCACTGTAAAGATATCCGAGTGTGTAAATTTCTTTGCAAATGAACCATTTCACATCAAACCACCTGAATGACTTTGGTTATATCTCAAGCACTGAATTATAATTTTGAAATTTGAAAAATTGGTGGAATTCCCCTTTAACTTTCTCCACTGACAAAGCTACTGCTGTGTTTATGTTTTTCAGGTTGAAAATTAGAACTTCTGGCCGTACTCTTTTTGAGGTCCTTGGAGTCTGACCAGACAGCTTGCCAAGATGTTAAGCGACAGCGAGGCTAAAGAGCTTCTCTCATTTCTCCGGCCAGACATGAGGGCGGACATTAAGGGCCAGGCTACAGAATACATCCTCGGCCTCACGGGCAACAGAGATGGCTGCCGTTATCTTAGGACCAAACCAGACTTCCTCAAGGCTCTGGTCACCCTCACGGCAGACCTTTCCATCGCCATTGTCAAGGACTGTTACCATGCACTGGTCAACCTGTCTGCAGATGAAACCCTGCACAAGCCCTTAGTTAAAGAGGCCGCCATCCTCCCCACAATGTTCCGCAACCTTCTGGACCCAGAGTACATGTTTGCTGACCGTGTAAGTACAATCCTCACTAACCTGTCCAGGCACGAAGCGACATGCAGGGAGCTGTTCCAGGCGTTGCAGGAGCAGGAGATCGGCCTGGCCAAAATAGTCGAGATCTTTTGCACCGAGGGCTTTAATAAGAAAGCTTCGCTTCACTACCTGGGGCCCCTGCTCTCCAACCTCACACAGCTCCCCGAGGCCCGGCAGTTCATCTTGGATAAGGAGAGGTCAGTCACTTCTGTAAGACAGAAGTTTTGAATTAAGCCGAAGGTGTGCAAATTGGTAGATCCAATATGGCACTCCTGTGTGTCCAAAAGATTGTAGACACCTGCTCATCCACTGTTTATTCTGAAATCAAGCGTATTAATAGAGTGTTTGTGTCCCCTTTGCTGGAGCAGCAGCTTATCCTCTACTGGTAAGACTTTACATTAAATGTTGGAAGATTGCTGTGAAGATTAGCATTCAGCCTCAGGAGTATTAGTGAGGTGAGATACTTATGTTGGATGATTAGTTCGGGATCACAATTGTGTTAGCTCACAGATAAATTCTGGATTGTAAACACCACTCTGGAGAGCACAGTTCCACTGCTTCACAGCTCAAACTTAAGGGCTTTATACCCCTTTAGTCAACACTTATCATTGGGCATAGTGACTAGTAAATAAAGGACTAGAAGGCTCTGGTACTGACCTGATTAAGGCTGGTTTAAGGGAGCATTTTCCAGCAGCATCTAAATTCAAATGGAGATGGGACAGCGAGTGTCATTCAGTGATAGTTCAAAGTTTAAGCCAAGATTTTCTGATCTCATTAGATCACTCGATTGGAAACCCTGTCCTAACCTGAAGCACCTGGCTCAGGCTTATTACATTAGGGTTGGAACTAGCTTGACAAAGTGCTAGCCTGGAATAGCTACCATTAACATATTTTCATTCCATTGAATACAACCTTTCAACAGCGATAGTTGTGCAGATATGACAGCTTTTGTAGAGAAGAATATTAAATATTACTTTGCAAGCAGTTCTCACAGAGTACGTACAGCAGAGACTAAGTCTCATATAGTTTACAGAGAAATGGCCGTGCTTTGTTGTGTTTTGTAACCTGGATTAACCTGATAATCACTGTCTGTCCTGTTTTTTTTTTTTTTTTTTTGTTTGTTTTGTTTTTGTTTTTAAGGTGCGTGATACAGAGGCTCCTTCCTTACACTCAGTATGAAGCATCAGTCACCAGGCGAGGGGGAGTAGTGGGTACTCTCAGAAACTGCTGCTTTGACTATGGTAAAAGTTTTGTTATCCTGGACACAGATCTCTGTAGAGCCTGACCTGACAGGGGTTTGGCTCCATTGAAAAGCCTGATTGCTCAAAGACCTACTGTTTATGTGTGCACAGGAATTGTTTATATTACGTGCTTCGTAGATGCATTATTGAATTAATTGAATTAGACTAGTTGCCTTGCACCTGTTGATGTAAAGTTAAAAGAAGGAGCTAAAGATCTGAAGATCAGATTTCTTTTTTACACTTAAAGCTTGTAACTGGTAAAGTGAAAATCACTCTGGCTCATCTATAAAGAGACAAGTTGTTTTGAGGTAGCTAAAGGAGCTGACTTTAAAGGAATGGTTGAGCAAAGAGTTTCTCTGACAGCTTTTGCTTTTGATTTTGTGTTGATTTCATTTGTTACCTCCTCTCATAGCTCACCATGAGTGGTTGCTAAGCGACGCTGTGGACATTTTGCCTTTTTTGTTGTTACCACTGGCTGGACCAGAGGAGCTATCTGAAGAGGAGAATGAAGGTAACTGCTTTCCTTTATAGATCTAAGTGTACCCAGAACAGCACAGACAACACAGACTGGCAGTCAAACATAATTGCTCAAACATTTTTATAATAATCACTGATAAAAAATGAAAGTAAAAACAAGAAAAGTTTTGTAGGTCGTCCTCTGGCATTGATGACCACCTCACACAATTTTCTTTCATATTTTGTCATTGCTTTCTAATTTTAGAGAATGATTTACAGGAGCTGTTTCCTGTGCATTCTTAGCTGGTGTCCATCCATAGTGGAGTGGTTGGATTTTTCTTCTCCACATTTTTCATTGTACTCCCACAGAGTCTCAATGGGAATTCTTTCAAACAAATCAAAAACCATTGCTATCAGTGAACAACATGTGCAGCTGAGCTTCTTCTTGAGCTTCTGGAATTTCTTTTCTGACTGCCAGTGCGTTTAATTTATTTATTTTTACTTCTTTTTTCATTTTGCAGCTGCAGATGTCTACTTTGGTCAGTAGAGGGCAGTGTTAGTTAATCAAATGTTTGGCAAGCTGTATATTGGGAGAGTAGTAGCTCTGCACAGTAACCAAGATTATTAGGTTGTCAGCTAATGCAGACTGGAAAATGTGGGTGACGTCACCGGCGCTGGAAGTAATGAATTTGCACCCTGTTCATCTTTGGTTTACTTTCAAAGGTTGTGGTTTCATAATGCCTTTAGAAATATTTCATTTGTGCAATATTTTAATAGTCTTGTGGAACATGTTCCCTTTCAACCACAGTTTATAATTAGCAGCATAGGTTTCTGGAGAATAACCAGCCCAATAAAGAGTACAACGGCTGTCATGAGATTTCCAACTAGTCTTGAGTCCAGACACATTTGAGCTCAGCCCTGAACACACAATGTCATTTTAGCAGTGGAAATATTCTTGTGGCTGGTTTTTGTTTTCGTCTGAAGGTTTGCCGGTGGACCTGCAGTACCTGCCAGAGGACAAGACAAGAGAGGAAGACCCGGACATCCGCAAGATGCTTATTGAGACACTACTGCTGGTTAGAATTTATCGCACGTTCTTTTTGATATTCTTCCATAATAACCCAGGGGCCTGTCTCACAAAGCAGGATTTCTAGCTTA